CCAGTCAGACACATTAGAAACATATTGCAGAAACAAAAAAAAAGCACTGACAGATCATATATAGAGCCTCAGATTACACAAAGCGCCTCTGAACATTTTCCAATAAGGTGGAAATTCTGATGGATTATAATGTATGTTTTATTTAATCCTTTGCAGCAGTGAAAATGTGAGGAATGTGTGTCACTGGTGTCGGTGGGTTTTTCAGGCCAAGGTCAGCCGATGCTTATCAGCGGCTCGAAAATAGCAGCAGTCCCTGGAAGATATTTCCAACATCGTCTTTAAAGTGGTGGAATTCATGGTGATTGTCTGAAAATGTGTGTATTTTAGACTTCAATTAAAGGAAAACTTAATAATAGCAAAATAAATGGTAAATATAGGTAAACAATTCTTTGTAATGCACAAGTCTATTTCTATCAAAACACGGAAGAAGTCATTATTCTGTAAATCATAAAAGATCTTATGTCTTAATCACAAGATGTTCAAAATGGAATATTAAATGAGAAAAAGTGGGTCAAGTGTATTATTTCTGTCTTTAATTATCTGCATGAAAAATAGCAAAAGAAGCTTATTTGCAATTGTTTGACTTAACTGATTGGTGCATATTTATATTTTCTGCTCTAAAGAATTTAAGTCATTTTTTGGGTGAAATCAAATGCAAAAATTATAGAATGCAACCATCTGGATTTGCTCCACTTCATTTTTCCTGTCCAAGTACTTACTGTAGAACAAATACAAAGCAGAAAAGAGAAAAAGCACAAAAAATGAAAACTATATAAAATGCTTGTTTTAAACCCAGTGTTTAATTTGTCCTGTAACATGAMAAGGATTTTATGTGAAATGTTAATTAAATAATTTTTCTCATGAGTCAAAACATTTAGTTCAGAAAATTATACTGAGGTTCTTTTTTTCTCAAAAGCACTACATCTCAGTTAATTTTGAAACTCGGTTTTCTGTCTTAGAGTTGAGAAAAATAAATAATTCCAAGTCATATTCTAAATGGTGGTAAAAAAAAACTACTCATTTAAATCTATCCATCATCAGAATAGTAGGTCAAGTTTGAAGTTCTAACAGACTCTGCAAAGAAAGAATAGTTACTGTTGTGATATTAAATTTGTTGGGACACAAATACATGACCATGTGGGACGCCTGGCACCAGTTTGTAGACAGCTGGGGTTTTTTTTTTTTAGGTTCTTTAGGTCACAGGGTGGAGATTCTTTGGGCTTATTTCTGCAGATACTCAATTCAACTGCAACCTCACGCTCTGCTGCAGTTTTTAGCTGTATGTCTTCATAGTTTTCACAGTGYGGTGGAGTGTGCTGCCCCGCTGAGAGGCCACCACCATCAGGGTGTACYGTTGCCATGGATGGATGTGCTTCGTTTGCAGCAATGTTTAGGTGGGTGGTACGCATTATGACTAACATCCTCATGAAGACCACCCAAGGTTTACCAGAGGATTGTTGCTTTTTAATAAAATGTAAGTGGTTGTGTGTTGAGTCTGCATGTTCTCCCCTTGCATGTGTGGGTTTTCTCCGGGTATTCTAGCTCCCCTCCCACAGACCAAAAACACGACTGTTAGGCTAATTGGTAACTCTAAATTGTCTCTAGGTGCTGGTGAAAATGTAAATGTTGCTTGTCTAATTTGTCTCTATGTGTCCCTGTGATGGACCCTGTCCAGGGTGTCCTCTGTGAGGATTGGTAACAAAGTCAGAGCGCAGCATTTCAAAGTACGAGGCAGCCTCGAGGACTTACTAATGTCAAACAAGGAGGAAACGCAGAGCCACAGTGATACGAGGACACGTGACAGAAGACGGAGACCCAACTTATAAGGGTGAATGAGGGACACCTGGAGGAGACACAGGTGAGCGAGGGCGGGGCTGGAGGATTTACAGACAGGAGGACAAGATGGAAAAACACAGGGATTGACAGAAAAAACTAAAACAGAAAAACACAGATTGTGACATCCTCCTCCTCTCGCATAATAACTCCATGACCCGGAAGCGATAAATGGGTAAAGAAAATACATAGAATATTTGTAATACAGTCTGACTGATACCTAAAGATATCTAAAGGATAGTTAAAGTTTGGCTTAAAGAACATTAGTYATGTATTAATTTGTAAAATAGGTCKATTTTACYTGTGCACGTTGCAGTGATGTTTTGTTGGATTTGTTCTGTGCACTTGTTTCATAAACTGTTTTTACTCTTGTCTGCTCAGGACAATGAACGAAATTTAGCTGTTGTGCTAATTCCGGCGCATTTATATTCAAAGAATATTGATTAATGTTCATTGTCCATAAATGAATTAAATTAATGAAGCTTTAACCAGAAACTATAGGATCCTGTCAGCTCATAAGTACATTTATTATTCATGAAGGAATCTCCTCTATATCGTCAGTAAACGTTGCATAAAATATTCTAATGTAATGTTTCTAATTTAAAAGTAATTTTCCTCAATCACTGTTGGATTACAATCATTTGGAGCCTAAATGAATCTAAACTAAGTACTTTTTGCCAAAGCACACTCATATTTAAGACAAAATTACACCAAGCTTGCTACGTTGTCATGATCATTAATCAAGGTTGATATGCTGATAAATTACATTTGTGCAACTGTAATAAGAAACCACTGACACCATGAAGGTGACTCTGCAGATTAAGAATGATTTCATCTTTCAAACATCGAACAGAAAGGATTTTCTGATAATATGAAGTCGTATTTTAAACAAATCCAAATGAATCTTTATAAAGGATCAAAAGCTTAGAGCGGACGGCAGATTTGTTAGAAAGCACCAAACCTCATCCAGACTCGACAAGAAGTTTTCTATATAACTGTCATTGTTGGGACGCTGAGGCTAATTGAAATGGTCTGTCAGGTTTGTTGACATGCAGCAGCGTGAGCACGTAGTAAAACTCCTGACAGGAAGTCCCTGTTCATCTGAAGCAGAGCAAAGTGGATGTTGGCTATGAGATCTGTTTGTTTCATGTCCTCCTGCCGCTCGGTAGCGATCAACCAGACTGCACAGGCTGACAAACACTGATTGATAAGAAGAGTTTTGGTTTTTTTTTACTAAAAGTATATCCTCATATCAGAGGAGGAAAATAAACCCTCTTAAACCTGAAGCACGAAAATCCAAACAGCCAAATTGAATCCCTACTCCTCTCTCAGCACTGAGGTGTTTGTATAAAACCGGTGCAAAAACACAAACACGGCGCATTCTCGACCTCGCTGCGCACCACGCACAGCACCACCTCTGACCTCCGTGAAACCTCCCGGGCCTCATTACCCACCGTGCACCTCTCCTCTGCACACACACATGCATGTAACGCACGAAAGTAAACAAATCTGCTGCGCAGTGAATGTGACCCTGTCGCCGAGACGTCTCTCCGGGTTGTGGTCTGACACCTGCGTGCGTCAGTCAAAAGTGGACACGCTCAGAGGATAAGAGATATAGATGAGGTCAGAGTTGGACTCATTAATCATCCCTGGGGGTCTCTGCATCACAGTTACAGAACAGGAGAGACAGAGGAGTAATTAAAAATAAAAATAAAGGACAGCACCGCTTTTTAAAGTTGTAAAACCTGTTTTTCTTCTGGTGAAGAGACGCTTCATTGTAAAATTAATGACAAATCTCTTGAAGGGATCCCCGATTAGTTGTAACATTAAACTTTATTTCATAAACTTATATTTTAACTGTAAAATAAAGACTGTAAAATAGGCTGTTTAGTTTTGTAATTTTTTTTTTAAATTTTTAACAAGGACGGAGCCATTTTATTTACACACAAAGCATTCTGGGTAAATGATGATGTGGATAGGTCCTCGGTGTGAGCGAGCTATATCCACCCTGAAAGTTAATCTTGGACAATATCTGATGATCGACTCTTTTAAATGAAACCAGAGAGCGTTGACAGAGAGGAGAAGGTAGAAATGACTCAGCCTGGAACTGAAAATATGGATGGAGGACAACAGAGCTGCTTCATGGAAGAAGAACCTCAGCTTAGCCTGTTAGCTTTTGCACTAGCGCCGACGCTATATTGCCTTATATGGGCTGTGTCCAAAACGACAGGATGGGTCCTCCAAAGGCCGAATTTGTCGGCCGCATACGTCACAGCGTCGCGACGAAGGCCGTCCAAAGCCGAAGACTCCTCCGATGCGGCCGACAAATACGTCCTTCCTTTTCCTCGATTTGAAGGACTGGTCTGATGGATCCTTCCCAGCCCAGCATATCCCATAATGCTTTGCGGCCCGACTGGAGATTTTTTTAAGCTAGTAATGGCGGACAAAGCGAGACAAAAGAATACGTTTTAAATAAAAAATATGGCGATATAAAAATTAAAAAAATTCTGAAGCTGCTGCCCCCGCGACCCGACCCCGGACAGGCGGAAGAAAATGGATGGAAGGATGGATAAAAATTAAATACTTTTAGCGGTTGTAATTCTAACACTTTTAACATTTGTATGGACATGTTTTTAAATATTATTTTTTTCATAAAAAACATGAAATAAACATGCACCTACAGCAGGTCAATTAGTTCTTCAAATGATACCTTTAAGATAATTTTATAGTTTTGTGATATTAATAATGCTAATATATTGATATTTTTTTCTAGTTTTGATTTAAGTTTGCTTGTTTAGCGTCGTCACAGTTGCTAGGTGACACGACGTAAGGACGAGATGCTAGACCGTCCATATTCCCAGCCTCTTTTTTTCCGGTCTTCCCGGTCTACCAAGGACTCGGCCCACTTCTATCGGGTAGTCTGGGTCCTCCGGAGGACCCGGCCTGTCGTTTTGGACACAGCGATGTATTAGCTCAGCGCTAATGCGACAAACTAACAAGCTAAACTGAGGTCCTCCATCCATATTTTCAGTTACAGGCTGAGTCATTTCTACCTTCTCCTCGTTTTTATGCAAGAGTGTCCATTTCTGCATGATTTGTTCTCAAAAAAAGCTGTTTTATTTTTAAATAAATGCATAATTCAACAGAAAGGAAGAAAAAAATTGTACCTGCTGATCCACGGGTCATCTTTGCAGCAACCTAACAGGACGAAAGAGAAAAATAAAGGATAAGCACAGATGGGATGAATGATGCAGAGGCGGAAACTTGCAAATTAAACTAAAGCGTCGTGATTATCATGTTTTGGGTTGTCCACAGGGTTCCAGAGAGAGAGAGAGCCTGCCATGTGGGGAATGACAAATATTTGGTTGGATTCAACAGATGTACTGGATAAAAATAAAAAAATTTAAAAGTTACGCATTAGAAATAAAAGATTTTACTGCTGATCCTTCTCTCCTTTTGATGAATGAGACAGAAACCCCTTCAAGGACAAATGATTTAGATCATAACAAATGATGCAATTAAATGTGAGGAAATTGAACGGGATATTGCAGATGTGTGTGTTGGGGTCAGTGTGCTGGCTTGGAAAAGAGACAAAAAGGATAAAAAGGATATGGTAAAGATATCATCTTACTTCAGAGTTTCTATTTACAAAAACACCAACTCACAAAGCTTTTGTTTCCGCTCATGAAGATCACACACATTCACACCAGCCCCACTGTCTACAGGAAAGGACTGATCTTATGATGACTGTGTGAAAAATGGTTTAAAATACTGTCTTATAAAAGAAAAGGAAAGAAAGAAATACCTCTATCACAGGTGAATGATGCAGAGAAACAGATGATCCTCATGTTTTAACTTTGAAGATTTACAGTGACAGCAAAGGTCAAAATAAAAGGTTTGTAAGGGAGCAGTGAGACCAGTTATATTGGGTGGTTTACAGTGGACAGAACYGGGAGTGTCAGAGCTGAAGATGATGAGGTTTTTCTTGGAAATGAGAAGGATGGAAAGGATTAGGAAGGAGATCACCAGAGGTATGGCACAGGTTGACAAGAGAGGTCAGACTTATATGGCTTGGACACGCTGTTTATGTACAAGGCTCACAGAAACATATTACCTTCCAACATCCAGGTAAACTTTGTTAAGAGAGACAGTTGTTATTATCTAAAGGGGATGGAAATGTTTGTGAAGCCATATTTTCATACTTGCTTGAAAGAAAGATGTACTTTAATCCAAGGTATGGGATTATAGAATGGTCTGGAAGATGATTTTAAAAATGCTAGATCTATGTATATATTTAGGAGACAGATAAAAGTAAGTTTTTTGAAGAAAAATGAAAAGTAAAATGTGAAGCTATTTGATTTATTGTTTGAGTTTATGTTTTTATGTTGTTTTTGTTTTTTATTATTTTATTTTGTTTATTTTATGTTATTTAGGATAGTTTTGTAAATTATGTTTCATTTGAATATATTCGTGGTCGAAAAGGGGCAGACCAAATAAGATTTATTCTTCTTCTGCTACCTTTAATTTTATTTTGATTTGTATATTTTTTTGGTTTTGGTTTATCTTTATTATTGTATATAGTATTTTTTAATGAAATGAATACATTTTTGAATTGAACTGAATTGAAAAAGAGTATGGATGRATGCTTCAAAAAGCAAACTATGACCACACTGTTGCCCAGATGTCATCTGATTAAACACCTGTTATCAACTTAAGGAAATGTGTGTTTGGTAGATTATTTTGTTGTAACAATGCTTCTTAGCAATAAATCTTACTATTGGAAAGTGTTAATTTCTCTTTTAAATGGTGCCACATTTGTAAGGAACATGCATTTGTGGGATGAGTAGAGCTGAGTGGGTTGCACACCTAAAACAGTTTATTTTGTTTGACATTTGTTTTGAGCTCCTGGTACCCCCAGGTGCTGCCAATCAGGTGCCTGATATATGATTTGTTGCCAAGAAGCAAAGAAATAATCTACCAAACACTGATTTTCTTACTTTTTGTGCTAAGTGCAGATTTCATCAAATAATCTGTGGCTGATCACATAACTCTGCAGCTCCTGTAAGCATTACTGAATCTTTTTCTTCCAGAAATCTGTTCTAATTTCCGTTTAGGAAGTTTTGGCACCTGTGGGAAAATTGCTGGTAAATTAATGCAAAAATGAGGGTAAATTCCAAAACTTTCATTCACTTTTAAACACTCCGCTGTCTGCCTGCCTCTCTGTGTGCGTTTAAAAGGGAGCGAATGAGATATGGAGTCCGTTTGAACAGCTGTGCTTAATCAGTCACAGTGAGGGAGGGGGACATAAAACCACTCCTGTATGAGTCTGATCCTGTGACCCCTGCTGTTCCCTCTCCTGTGCAACAAGGGTTTTAAAATATWAACTCATTTAAATTTATGAAGAGACGTTCATGAAACATAAAGGACATTTTACAGATTAGACTGAACAAAAATCAAATCAGAAACAGACAATAAAGCAACATGAAATTCTGAGCTTTGTTCAATCGATGCTTTCTGAAGGGTTATATATATATATA